GTTATGTAATCATGTCTCTGTGTAGTTCGAAAACAATTTTAATTCAAAGTTGTATTCATAATTGAACAATACTTGACTATGACGTGGAACATAATTATTTTAACTACGAGAATTACGTAAGAAAAAAAAAATAAAAAAATGGACAATAAAACAAAGCGTCACTTCAAAACAAAAGTTTATGGTTTGACCACATAAACAAAGTTAACGGCTGCAATCAAAAAACATTCACATGGTGTTCTTATCTACAGCCTTTAAAGTTCTCTCTTCGAACCTGTTCCGTGGCCGAGATTAACAATAGCTGCAGGCTGTCCACCTCTTTATTGCCACTTGTAACTAGGAGTGAGTGATGAGAGACCAGCGGAATGAAGCAACTGCTAGATAATAAAATTAGAAGTGACACAATTAAATATTATTAAAATATTTTTACTCGCTTCTGCCAGCAGCTTCGCTTGCGTTCTCAGTGCATAGAAAGTGGCCATAGCCTATGCATTATTCCATATATACCTCTGTTCCAAATTTCATGTCGATTCTTTCTGCCAATTCGGCGTGAAAGAGACAAACACATACACGCAGATAAATCCTCACAAACTTTCGCATTTATAATATTAGTTGGATTTAGTAGACCTACTTGCTAACGCTCTTATATTGCTTTGTTAATTCAGTGGTCGTAACCTTACCTCCAAGTTATATTGTGGCCTATCGATTATAAATTGTGTGTCAAGCAATATATTATAGTTTTATTTCTTTGCATTTTTTTCAATTCTTAGTAACATAAGTTAACCATATGTGCGTAAATAAAGATGCTTGAAATAAAATAAAATATTTTTATCACTTGTAACTTATTTTTTTATAATCAGGAAATATAAAATGTTTCCTGATAAAAAAAAAACGTGCTTCCAGGCAATAAACGCTATCGCTTATAAACTTACACCATACTTTAAAGCCGTCTACAACCATTTGGTAGTGCCTTTATGTCCTCACAAATGTCTTAAGCTTTGTAACATTGCGGCATGTAATAACGACCGAAAATATCCATGTGACCAGCGTCGCTGTCACAACGTTGTGGGAAAATTGTTAACGAATTATTTTCATTAATTTTATTGCAAGCTTGCTTTGTTGTTCTAGCTCTAACAATGGTGAATATCGAGTTAATGAAACGATGAAACCGATTCATAAGTACATCGAAGCTCTATACTCTATTGTTAGATACTCTAAGTTGAAAGATTTCTTAAATAACGAAGTATATTAGTGAAGATTTTTAATTTTTTGGTTTCAGTTATAGAAATTTGGTGCGGTGGCTGGGCAATCAATTCCCACGCAATGTGTAGCAGTTTCGATCCCGCACGGAGCATATCTTTGTGTGATGTCTTACGTGTATGTGAAATTGTATGTTTGTAAATGCACCAACGATACAGGATCCTAGTGTGGGTTTATGTAAAAATAACAATTGAGTTTCTTTGTGTTACAATACTAATACCAAAGAGGTTAGCATTAAAAAAAATATTCACACTGTCCTTAAACTCTTACCAGATTTTCAGTCTTACCCAGAACACACCAGTTCATAGTGAGTCAACTAGTACAAATGACAAAGGCGAAACCGTTTATGTTAGTTAGGGTGGTCCAAAATTTTCATTTTTGTATTTTCGATACGGCCACCCCGTAAATTTGTTACATATACCTATTGCATTAACCTAGTAAAATTACAGCAATCTATGTTTAGTGGAAGGGGGTGCTCAATCAGGTGTTATTTTTAATTTATAGTGATAAATACTTCATTTTGCTTTTTTCTGTTTTAGGTTAATTACAAGTAAATAATATATGATAACTACTTAAATATACAGGAAATATAGTATTTTAAGGATTAAAATTCAGAAAAACGATTAGTGTGTGTGTATAATAACTATTGTGTGACTGTGAAATAGTGCAATAAAATGAGTTCTTCAACACGTAAAAAAGATGACATTTTTCTTCTTGGATGCCGGGACCTTGAGCCATTACTAAGGCTAAACCAACTACCAACTCTTCGCCAAGTTCTATTACGTTATCATCAGATATTAAATATATCAAAAAATGTAAAAGATTCTGCACAAGTAGTCATTCAAGAAGTAATAGAGCTATGGAACAAATCTGGTATTCTTACAAAACAACAAAATCACTGCAATGAAAAACTTATCAAAATTCATAAAAACTGGCTGCTTTTAAAGAAAAACAAAACAAGAGTTTCAGAAGCTCAGAAAAAGAGGGAGAATACGTTCATAGCAGATCTAGACAAATTATTTGATATTGCCCATTCAAGCGCTTTAAATTCAATAAAAATTGCGGAAGACAGAGATTTTCTTATAGATCAAAGAGGTGAGCGCAAAATGATCATGACTTCACTTGACAAGAAGATGGCAAAACGCAAAGAACGTTCTTTAAAACGAAAATATAGAGCGGAAGAATTAAAGAAAAAGGCAGAAAATAATAGTGCATCTTTGGTGGTATCGAGTCAAGAAATATCACTGGATTCCAGCTTTAGTAGTACTTCTAGTGCCGCAAGCCTTGCTAACAAACAGAAAGATGAGGAGTTTGTTGCGGTTTTACAAAAAAAGGCACACAGTGTCACGAGTGCTAGTGACAGTAGCCAGCCATCAACATCAACTAGTAGTATTTTTACAAAACATGTGACGGGCGCTCTTGACCGCAACAAGATAACCGATCGAGAGGCAATGCGACTTATTATTCCGTTGTCTGCCGCACTTGGCTGCAATCCTGCTTCACTCTCAATTTCACGAAGCACAATTCGACGAGCCAGGAAAAAAGCTAGGCAAGAATTCAATGAAAACTTGAATGAAACGTTCAAGCCGTCTTATCCATTAGTAATACATTGGGATGGTAAGATACTGCCTGATATAACGGGCAATAAGAAAGTAGATCGCCTACCGATTCTTATTTCTGGAAATGATACTGAAAAATTGTTATGTGTACCTAAACTTATTGCTGGAACGGGAGAAAGTATGTCTGCTGCTGTTTATGATGCAATGGAACAATGGAATATCACGAATCAAGTACAAGCTATGAGTTTTGATACTACAGCCTCTAACACCGGGGCCAAAAATGGTGCATGTGCTCTTCTAGAGGCAAAGATAGGGCGTGAACTTTTATGGCTTGCATGTCGTCATCATTTGTTTGAAATTATGCTTTCAAAGATATTTACAATTTGTTTCGGCCCATCCAGTTCTCCAGAAATACCATTATTCAAGAGATTTAGAGACGCTTGGGATACATTTTCACGAGATCACTATGATTGCCTTGACTTTAGTTCTAGCACTGATCAGTTCGTTGAACTTACGCTTGAGAGTCTGACAGCTGCTTTATCGGGAGAAAAACAAGTCCGAGATGATTATAACGAGCTTATAGAGCTTACCTTGATTGTTCTGAACAAGCCACCGGGGAGGATTCACTGGCGTTTTCCAGGGCCAATACATCGTGCTCGTTGGATGGCTAAACTACTATATGCCATTAAGATTTTTCTCTTTCGGTGTAATTCAAATATATTTAAGCTGACTAAGAGGGAAGAAAAACAAATTACCAGATTCGTTACGTTTGGTGCACTTGTCTACACCAAAATTTGGATAGAAGCGCCTTTGACAGCAGATGCACCGATGAATGATTTACAACTTTGGAAAAGATTGAAATCGTATGAAGTAATAGATGCTGAAATAAGTGCAGCAGCAAGAGAAGTCTTAGAGCGCCATTTGTGGTATTTATCAGATGAAATAGTAGCCTTTGCCTTATTTTCCGACAAGGTGTCTTGTGATGAGAAAGTGGGTATTGTTCAAAAAATGAATGCAGCAGGGGGACGTCGTAAAGTACGAGGTGACTCTACTAAACTATCAGTCACGGCTACCGTAGGAGACTTTGCATCTGAAAGAACATTACGGACGCTCAAAATTCTTGACATTAAAGATTCATTCCTGCAGTTGCCTCCCGAGATTTGGGGCGAGAATGACGATTACATTCAAGGTAAAACTTGCATTAAAAACTTACGTGTCGTTAACGATACTGCGGAAAGAGGTGTGAAATTATTTGAAGATTACAACAACATACTTAGTAAAAATGAGGAAGAAAAGCAATTTATACTTCACGTAGTAGAACAAAACAGAAAAATCATTTCTACCGAGACATCCAAAAAAGACTTAACTAACATAGTTTTAGGTTAAGAAAAAAGTTCTTTACTGCACGTAATTGCTTTATTACCTGATTTGTTTCTTAAGATTTTCAATATACAAACATTATTTTTTAATAAAAACCAGTTAATAAGGAGCACACTAAAATTTTTCATTTAACAAACTGGCTTTCCCATGTCAATGCTTTTTTCATAAAATTGGTAAACTTCAAAGTCAATGAGCACCCACTTTAACTTTAGATAGGAGTCTGAAATTTAAAATAGATAATAGTACAGATATGTGTAACAAAATAAAGGAGTGGCGAGACATGTAACTGAAAAAAAATTTTTCGCTATATGTAGGTGGACCACCCTAATGTTAGTGTTACATCCAACTTTCACGATGATTAATTTAATTTAAACAATTTATGGCCAGCTTGCGGTCTGTATGTTGTCATGGGGAATTATGACTTCGGGGAAACTTCTGATATTTATTATAGTAGGCAGTATGTAGATTATTAAGCCATTTATAATGACTAATGTAGTTTAGTGATTTAAAGAAGTTTTGCGGTTTTAGTATTGATTACACAATAGACAAAAACGTCCTTTGTGTTTATTTTTTGGACCTTGGCGGTGTCATTATGTTTAGTATTATGCCTTCTGGCAATATTTCTTAGCATGAGGAACTTTTTTTATAACTGGCCGGTTTGTAAAGTATAGCCTACTTTAGATATAACACTAAAAAATATAGAAAAAATAATTATTATTGCCTTCTTACTATAAAAATAATATTATGAAAAATGTAAGTTTAAAAAAGTCGCCACCCGCTGTTACTTCCAAAATTTTATTACACTGTAATAATTTAACTAAAATAATTTTGTTAATGAAAATAATATTTAGTTTTTAATTTTCTTTTGATGACTTTCTCTGTGTTATGAATTTGTTTTTTTATGGCAGACGGATCTCCTGATGGTAAGTAATCGGCGTCGCCCATAGACACCTAGAAGTCCAAAGGCGTTACAAGTGCGTTACCAGCCTTTTGAGGATTAGGAGTTTGAGGACTAGCAATTCTTTTATAACACCATTATGTATTTATACCTAAGTTATACAAATAAATATTCTGATTCTGATTCTAGAGGAAGTACAAAATGTTCCTTAATTAATAGTAATAAAGGTTCAATTTCACTTTACCGATATATTTCTTAGAAGTTTTGGTTAGAAGTCTTGCTGGCTTTAGGTACACTTCCGTTGTTAGGATTATCTGAACAAAGCTTGATCTCGCAATACGAATAGTTAATCTTAGATTAAAATACTTCGTTTGTTCTCAGTTTGGTAACAGTTTGAGTAAGCGTTTTCTATATTTATATTTCAAAGTATATTTTGTGTATTAAATCGTAGTTTAATTAATTGAAATTTCATTCGAATTCGTGTTTGTTGCTAAAACTCTCGTTGGACAATATTGTAGCGAGTGAGTTAGTTGTTATTGTTTATGTTGTAAAGTTCAAGTTTTTGATTTGATTTTGTTTTGTTTTTAGCAATATTTATTCAATCTTGTAGCGAGGTAGTCGAATAATACCTGTAGAGGTGAATTAAAAACATTGGGCGATGAAACTAGAAAATAATATGAAACGGTATTTTGTCAAGGAAAATTAGATAAAGAAAACTATAAGTAGGCAGATTAAAAAATCACATACCAAGTAAAATTTTGATCCGAAGTCAAAGACAAGAAGGTATTAATATTGTTACAAGTATATACAAGATTTTGGCTTTAATCAAAGTTCAGCAGTGAGGAAATCTTAGTCGATTTCCTCACTGCTGAGGATCCTGACTCCCTCTGATTCTGCTCACTAGATGTCGCCATTTATCTCGTTCCGTTGCTTGGTGCATTGCACCATTCATAGGTATCTCCAGCTCCTTGGATATTTGGCCAGACCACCGTCTCGGACTCTGACCTCTTTGTCTCTTTCTTTCTACCTTACCAGTCACTATGAGGCGTTCCAGACTGCCAGCATCTCTGCAAGCAATATGGTCAAAGTATCGCACAATCGCTGACAAGCGCTGAGTTTTTTTCCATTTTTAAACTGTCACTCTAACAAAACAAAAATATGCTTTCCGATTTTAAAATAAAGTCCAAAGTTACAATGCATACAGCATTTTATTAGGTACCAACTACTAACTCCTTTGCAGCAAGTGTCGTTATTGGAAGTTGCAATTACCCACGTTATTTAATGGCTACTAATATACATTTAGCACTATACGTACGTGCAAATTGCTATAGAACTTTTACTTTCATTGTGTAATAGGTTAACTTTGAACAAAGTATTACATTTGAATTGGTTACTGATATAACTATTTAATGACAAAATTATTACTTCGATTATTTTGCCTATCAGCCTTCATTCGTCTAGTTTACTAGTGCTAGTGTGAATTTGATTGGAATTGAGAGAAAGCACACAATGAGTTGTAATTGAAAAATATGCCTTAGTTCTGTTGGATAAGATATGCTATATAGTAATTGAATTTGGGCAGTACATAGTAATGTGTACTTGGATAAGTAATGTTATAGTAGTCGAATTCGCAAATACTGTTTGGTTGGTTCTCTGCATACTATCATAGAAATGAGTAATAAATAACAATGCATTCCAATAAATTTCTATTATGTAGATGAAACTAACGAGGTAATCGTTAAAATACTATGTTCACAAAACCGAGAATAAATATTACAGAATACTAGAACAATATTTTTACCTTACTCTTCTTTTTCGTAGAACAAAGCGATGTTATATTACATCATTTCTTTGTACGTGCGTACCACAATTCTTGAAATAATTACGTAGCTGTCAAACGCAGCGAATAAAAATCGATGCTACTACAATAGTATGTCTGATTTCGATCTATAAAATTAATTATCGTTTCAAATTAATTGTTTGAGCAACCTTTCAACGGGAATTCTTTTTGGGTCAATGATGTTCGTAAACATTCGGCTTCTTAATTTGCTTTTTTTCTTTTCAACAATAATGTCTTACATTATTAATTGGTTCGCATTTTAATTATATTTGATGTGTTCTGTTCTTATGTTGTAATTGTTGAAAGTTTGTGTTGTATAAGCGCAAATGTCATATATGAAAGTGTTCACTATATTATAAATTGTTCAAGTAATTAAAGCTTAATTGTTGCTTACAATATAGTAGTATCAACTTACGATGAGTTATTTTGTTTGAAAATAACATTGGTTGCGACATCTGTTATGTAAGAAACATTATGTTTTCTGCCATAAGAGTATTTGAACATTGTCATAGAAAATTTTCAACAATTTATCCACTCAATAGTTACTTCAGAATGTTTCTAGAGAAGATTTTCCCTGAACAGGGGACAAAATAACAACAATTTATCTCTTAAGAACCTGAAATTGGTGCGGCTCTATTTAGCGGGACACCATCTGTCCTCGGCGTCCCCGTTTCAAGCTCGTATTTCAAAAGCCTGTCAAAATTTCAGTTTCAAGAGAGGACCGTTGAAACAAAGAGCGAACGGCATCTGTTGAACGTCCAGCCTCCGGCGGAGACTCTCTGTAATCATCCGACATTTTGAAGAACGTAATTGGTCGACTAATGAATGCTGCCTTAGGCAAAGCTCCAGTTTACGCAATGAATCGCCTGTGTCACTCGCGGTCTCTTAAACTTGGTGCAAGTAAATATGAGATGAGAACTCATAATGATATGTAATTTTGTTTTGTTCAATTTTTTTCGAAATTTTTAATTTTATGCTATATGTCAGTTGGGGCTAGCCGCCATGTTTGTTCTTGTTTCTGTAGGCATATGATTTGTCACAATTATATGGTTTTATTTAGTTCAAGAGAACAGTTCACTTGCAATTACGTGATCTTTAGTAATCATGATAAAGTAGGTAGGCGTGTCCGAAATTATGTGACTTTTATTTATGCAGTTGCTTAACTCATTTTCAATTTTCAACTGTTAAGTCTTATTAAAGTAGGACGAGGCATATTTTTGTAAATCCTAGTAGTTTTATTTGTTATCAACAATTTAGTTGGAAAAACGCATGAATGTTACGGTATAGTTTATTTCTGTCTTTCTTTCCTTCCCTTTCTTCATAAAGTATAATATAATATTGTTAACTTTTATTTTAATATAACATCATCACGCCTTTTATCTCCGAAGGGATAGGCAGACGTGCACATTATGGCACTTAATGCCACTGCTGTACGATGTAACATCCACTATTCACTATTTATGTTATGAGTCCCATGTAATAGGGGGTGAGCCTATTACCATATACCAGGCACAATTCCAAACTCCGTGCTACTACTGACTATTTTTTTAAACACCCTGTTATATTTTGCCCGAATACTTACCCAGCAGTCGCACTTGCGACCACTCGGCCAACGAGGCTTCTATTTTAAAAATCTTTTAAAAGGTACCTACATTATTTCTAAAAGGAATTGCAAACGTTCCACTGCTTTATATTGTGTTAAAGCAAGTATAGCTACAACCGCTTTACATCTTGAATGTCTGCTTCAGTCTAAGTATTCAAGACTAACTTAATAAAGCAAGTTCCGCGGAACTTAAACACAAAGCAGTATAGTTTGGCTCTTAAAATACTTTTAAGTGTATGCTAAAGTTATTTCCAAGTGTTAAACTGTTTTCATAATGTAATAACTTCATAATAATATATCATGTTATGTTCCATTTTGTGAAGGGTTGTAGGTTGTAGGTCTGGGTTTTTGCTAGGTCTAGAGACAAAGAAATGAGAAGACCAATTACTATATAACTATATACCTTAATGAATTTTGATTTCACCCTGCTCCTGATCATTATCAAAATGAGAACTTAAGAAAGTCTTGTTAGACCTTCACGCTTTAAGGAACTTTTCTTCCCAACTCCTATGTGTAATATCTCTGAACCATATTTATTCGAAACAACACAACATAACATAACATAACATCACGACTTTTTATCCGCGAAAGGGTAGGCAGAGGTGCACATTACGGCACTTAATGCCACTGTAATGTAACACCCACTTTTCACTATTTATGTTATGAGTCCCATGTAATAGGGGGTGAGCCTATTGCCATATACCGGGCACAGTTCCAGACTCCGTGCTACCACTGAGAAAAACCCAGTAATACTTTGCCCGACCCGGGAATCGAACCCGAGACCCCTTGCCCGTCAGTCGCACTTGCGACCACTCGGCCAATGAGGCAGCAGTTATTCAAAACAAATTAGCATTTTCAACCATTGACACTACGCCACGTACTTCAAACGCTGGCGCCACGACTCTTAAGTGACGTCAACGC